TTAATTTTCAAAAAACAGTAATAGAGAACTTAGCTTTTGTAGTGTGTTCCCACAGATGACGCCAATTGATGTTGCGCAATCTAGACGCTCCCTCGTGTACTGTGATGCGGATTCTGACTAGATGTTAACCTAGCTGGCCGAGCAGTGAAGGCCAAGCTGATGTCTGAGTGTCTGAACTGATGTGTGCTGCAAGGAATGGAAGTTGAGAGTGCTCGGGTGTCTTTTACCCGGAGAGGGCACTCCGATGCTTAAGTCAGTAGGTGTTTGAGAAGATCTCTGAAAGAGTGAGAGAGCTCTAGAAGTTTAGTGCGCGTACCTTTCTGGGTGAATCTGGGTGCCTTATATAGGTCCCTGTACTCAGGTGACCAGGGTAACGGTCTTGAGCTCTTTGAGGAGTTGTTTCCTTCTTTTTCGGCACGTTAATGTATCAGTTGCGAGACCCTCGCGGGGGTTACGATCTGCCTAATTAAAGTCGAGGCACGTGACACGGTGATCCGTTCTACCGGTTGTGCTATCGACGCCTTTGGTAGCGAACTGTTGGGGACGATTAGCAAGCTCTTCCTCGCAGGTCGCCTTAGGTCCTCTCAGCTCGGCCAGCTCCTAGAATAGATCGCCGTAATCTTACTGGTCTGCTAACTCGGCCTTGCCGAGGTGGAACTGTAGGGGTGGTTAGCGAGCTCTCCTTAGCAGGTCGCCTTAAGTCCTTACAACTCGACCGACTCCTAAGACAGCTCGCCGTAATCTTACAGGGTCAGCTAATTCGGTCTCGCTGAGGTAGATGTCAGCTTAGGTGAGATGCTCTGAGTTAATTTTACTGAGCTAGCTTGCTGACTTGGCACCGAGGTATCATTCGGGAGCCACGTGTCACTGTACGATTGGGAGGACCAAATTACCCCTCATCAGTTTTTGTGCTAAATCTAGACCCACCCCACCACGCTTACCATTATACGCAACAAAGATTCAGGTCAAGAAGATGACCCAAATCTAGGTGTACGGGTCGGGTATGGATGTTACTACATCATTTGCTTATCACTAATGTTAAACTGACGCTTATTCATGTTTTGTTGTTAATGTTACAGTTATTAAACTGGTTGGTTATTCATGTCCCATGTCCCATAATTAAAAGGTCATGGTGACTACCAAAACTAATATTTACAAAATTATTGAAAAATTGAAGATTTAACGATGATTAAGAATTATTGAATCATTAAAAAGGTCTAATTTACTTTAATATAAACTACTGAATTATGTTAACTGAATATTTAATATTCACTGATCTTCATAATTATATTTAATATTGACTGATCTTCATAATTATATTTAATATTGACTGATCTTGATAATCGTGACAATTATGTTAATTACGTCAACGATTATATTTAATGTTCACTGATCTTCATAATTGATAATATTAAATATTAATTTCAGTAATTAAATGCTATAATATTATCATAGCACTGAAAATTATAATTGTGTTTTAATGTTTTCAGTCATTCAATAATTTTAATATTTTATGTTCAAATTTTATTACCTTTTAAGTTTTAGCTACTAAATTTAGTTCAGAAATTAGAATTTTCGGCAATTATAATACTGAGAATTATAATATTACTGAAGATAATTACTGAATTCTCAAAACAAAAATAACTAAAATTCTGAAATTTCTGACAACTACTAAATTCACTTTTTTTTTCCAGAAATCTGAAAATTGGGAAAACGCTGAAATTGAAATAATTATTGAAAAAAGAAGATAATTATATCAAAACACCATTTGAAATTTCAGAATTAGTGAGTTTTTGCATTCATTTGATCTTATTGTTAGATTTCAAAATTCCATTTTACTCGTATGATTTAATGAAAAATCCATTTGATATTATTGTTAGATTTATAAATTCTGTTCTATTTATGTAATCAAGCGAAATATCCATTGGATCTTATTGTTCGATTTCAAAATTCTATTTTATTTATATAATTTAGTGAAACTTCTATTTGTTAGATTTCGAAAATCCACTTTATTTATTTTCTTGCTTATTGATATTTAAATTGTGGTCCAATATTGTGATTTGTTGATATTTAGTGTTTCAATTTATGTTGATAATCTGCCCAAAATTAGTGACCTTATGCCATTACCCGCTTATGACTATAATGGGTGGGTCTAACCCAAATCGGAATCTGACCAATCCAAAATTCAATTTACCGGGTTAGTGTATGTTATTGTTATTTAATTAATATATGTTCTTATTTACTTTATTCTTTTTCTCAATGAACAGAAATTATTGTTATTTTCATTTATTGTGATTATTAATAGAAATTATCAATTCTGTTTTGTTAAACTAAAGTATCGAACATGTTTGCACCTTAGCATCTAGTAATTAGTTTTTTTAAGAGGAATTTATATGAGCACAAAAACTGTTTTGAGATTTTACACTAGTATCGCTATGACTTGGAAAGTTCACTTTGGGTGAATTGTTACATTAGGGAATTTTATTTCTCAGAACTTGTTTTCTAGATTTCCGATTTATTTTCTTTCCTCTTTCTCTCGGTTATGAAAATGGTCGGCAACGGATTTTAATAGATTCCACCAAACCATAAAAAAGCTAGTTTTAATCGGTTTTATCTTGTTTAGACAGACGGTGGTTGCTTATTCAATATGGAGTCGGAGTTGAGAAGGTCATTGTGGTAGAGATTCTGGATTAGCCTCTATATCTTGTTTTTAACCATTTGTTTGGCTCCTAAGAGTATTGGAACACTTCATATCAATTTAGTTATGGGATTTTCTAGCCATGATCAACTGCCCAGTGGTTGTAATGATCACTTCAATGATTACACGAAAATCGTAGCATTTCTTTACCATTGATTCAAAGTTTTAGAGCTAAGTCAACTTTCAGATTGTGCTTGATGATAATGCTGATTTGTTTGGTATAAAATGTCAATGAATCACTACTTGGATGATTCGATGGCGCAATGTATCTGCACATTTTGAATTTTGAAATCATCGGCTTCAACATTCATTGTAATTAAATCAAAATTAATAAGATAGCACAACTGCATAATGATTGTTTTCCGAATAAACCTTCAAATCACGTTATTTGAAAAATGGTATTTCAAGTCAAATAGTTATTTTCAAAACACACTTTTAGTACAATTTCTTAGAATATGTCATCGTCTGGTTGCAAAATTATATTTTCAAAAACATTGGTCTTCTTTACTTCGCATGATTCTAAGTTTATCTAGTATTTTCAAAATTACGTATCTGGCAACTCCCTAGCAACCCTAGGCGTGATGACATATTCCCTAACAACCCCAAGAAGGCCTTAACAACCCCAAGAAGGCATTGGCAACCCCAGTAAGGCCTTGGCAACCTCAAGTGCAATGACATATTCCTTGGCAACCTCAAATGCGATTACATATACCCTAGTCTGCCAGGAAGGCCCTGTTCCGACAGGTGCGATGACATATTCCCTGGAAACCTTGGGTGCGATGACATATTCCCTGTCCACGTCTACCCACAACACACTACCTTCGTGCATTGGGAACATCTCCTTGTGTGTGATTGCGATGTTATATGGGTAGACATGGTAGAGTTCTTGTGGGCAGGAGACTGGACTCTCAAATGTTCTCAATGTACCCGAAAGCCTGAAATGGCCATTGGGACCAGCTCCAATCTCCTTTTCCTACTTCCTCTCTAATTGGATTAGTTTCCCTTAAACCGGGTTTTCCTTTCAAAGAATTGGTCCTCACAGCATTTGCAGTCATGCGTTGGGAATCTATGTATATGTTCGGCATCGATGCTACAGATACAACACCCTTTTTTGTATAGGTTGGAAGCACCGCTTTCTGAGAAAATGATGTCTTTTTTTCTGTTTGGAAACGTTGCTGCCAGGTAGGACATTTCGTGGAGCAACAACAACCAAGGTTCAAAGTACCAATGCGTATCGGCCTATACCGGTCCTTTTTTTAACTTTTACTTTTTTTTTTTGAATTTGGTTCAGAAGGGCCAGTTTAAGTCTCGACTACCCTCTGAACCAGGCCTTGACCTGATACAACCCTTGTAGGGGCGTATCGGGAAGGGCCCGATATGATATGTATCAGCCAATACGGGCCGATATGTAACGGTTTTTTGAACCTTAACAACAACACTTTCTATTTGGTACCAATGCTCCATGTCTGTTTTTAGCACTGGCACCCATTATAGGAAGTTCACGTCATTGCCATATCACGCCCTCGTTGGCAGCAATGAATTGCAATATGAGAAAACGTTAAATTCGGTGTTGCTCTAAGCCACGCCAAAAATGATTCCAAACAAATTCGAACGTAGCGTTGATGTATCACTAGACCTATTCATGGGCCGGGCCGGGCCGGGCTTTTACTCTTCATTAATGGAAATATGTTAGGCCCGAGCCCGAGCCCGGCCTGATCAATGGGCCTACAACTTGGGCCCGAGCCCGGCCCTGATAAAAAGCCCGAAACTCGACCTAATAAAAAAAAATTAGAAATTTTCCCTATTCAATAATCAATATAAATTAGAATTTATTTACATTAAAAAAAGAATATATATTCAAAATTTATTTATATTAAAAAAAGAATATAAAAAAGGGAAAAAGGATGTGGAGAAGAAGGGTTCGACTGAAACAATAAGGGAAAGAGGTGAAAAAAAGAGGGATATTCGACTAGGGTTTTTAGGTTTAATTATAGGTCAGGCCGGGCCGGGCTATTTTGGCAAATCCCAAGCCTGGCTTGAATTTATTGCGGGCCGGGCTTTTTGGCCCGAGATTAAGCCCACGGGCCCATATACCTGTTCAAGCCCGTTCGGGGGCCGGCCCATGAACAGGTCTATGTATCACAATTTTCTAGAGCAACGGCATCGATGCTGAGGTCGGTGCAAAGCCTCCGAGGGCTAATTATGTGAGAGGAAATCGATACTTATTTTCCCTCGGAGGGTTTACCAATAAAATGTAAACTGTGCCCAATCCAAATTGCCCCCTTCACCCCTCTCCAATAAAAAATCCAAATTGCCCCCTTCCGGTATCATACCTTTTTCTGGCATTATAAATTTGCCCTTGTCCAAAATTTGGGTCGTTCCGCAATCTGGTTATCCGGTTTCCCTTCCCACTACCAGCGACAGCGAAGAACGGTTTGAACTTGAACGTGCTTGCGGTCACAGTAGAAGGAAATCTCTCAACTCTGGAATTAGAACGTCCAAAATTGCCGCTCGTGCACCGCTGCCGAAGTGGAAATCAGGTCGTCCGCCTTCGCCAAGGGAATATACCTTAATAGTTTTCTCGTCTCTCCTAACTTGGTATCTATCGGCATTCGAAACCCTAATTCATCACCGGTGTTCGTATCAAAGATAGATTTTAGGGTTTCTGAAAGGCCTCAATTTGAAGTCCTGTCTGTTATTACGCCAACTTTTCTGCAGGTTAGATGCTAGACGTGATCTATTGAGTTTGTTAGCTTATATTTCAAGTAGAAAAGACGTTGGCAAGTATTATGGGATCTTCTGTGGTGACACCTGAAGATGTTTTGGAGTCGCTAATGAATGATGGTACAATCGACGCTCTCAGGTTGAAAATAATTAATCAGCTCAAAGCTAATGTGAGTGGATTTCTACGATCAATTTCTTCAATATTTTCTAAACTCTATTGATTAAAACCTTTTTGATATCGATATGTTTGCTTGAATTGAATTTATAGTTGGCTAAAAGAAATCTTATGGGCGTGGATGTTGCTTTTAGTAGTTCGTAAGGAGTGGGTATTGAGGATGATATTTTGTTTGCTATCCAGTTACTGGTTTAACATCCTGTATGGGAGATTTAAGTTTGTAATAATAAGCAGTTGTTTTTAATTTATAGAAAATGACACTATAACCATAAATATTCACAGAAAAAAATCATGATCCCTTGTTATGTCGTTGATTGATGAGATATTGTTGTTGGACTTCTTCCTAAACTTCTGACGTGTACCAACTTACAAAAATGCTGCAAGTATGTCGGTTGCATAGCTAGGGATTCATCGAGGTTCTACCTTAGTTTAGAGCTAACCTGGTGGTGTTTGGTTCACTTACCTGAACTAGATTGTTTTAGTTAAGACTGAAATTCTGTTATATTTATTTCAAGCATCTATTTTTCATCTCTAGCATGTTGAAAGGTCAAAGGCCATGTTTGAGAGTATACTATGATTTAAATACACACTTAGAGAAAAATGTAAAGAACCTCCTTTGTTTATAATTTTTGTTTAAAATAACATGTAGACAGAACTTCTGCACTTTGAATACCCTTTTTTGATCAATATTCCCTTTACCAAGCAAGGTAATTAAAATAAGTTGTTGTTAGGTAATCCAAAGGTGAGTAATAATACTGCTGCACGCAGCAGTATCATGCAAGATCTTTTTTTTTTTTTTTTTTGATGAATAACGGAAAAGATTCATTTAAGAAGCTGAAAATAGTACAAGAATTCAGTCATCCCAGAGATTGAGACAAGACCCAATAAAAGAAACACAAAGAACGAAAAAACCAGCCCCCAAGCAGCAGTTACAAGTCAAACCCTGTAGTAGGGATAATTACAAGTCAGGAAAGAGTCCCAACTCCCCAGAATAGATTTTCTCTTTCTACCCCTTGTCGGCCAAGCCATCTGCCAACCCATTGAACAGATATAACTCTATTTCTTTTGAGTTCAGAAATCTCTCTCAGAATGTGTCTCTCTGTACTGCCAAGGGCACCTCTCTGCTTGCCTAACGGCCCTAACCCATTTCACCACCACTTCAGAGTCCTTTTCAACAATAATGTTGGTGTAATTATTCCTCTTGACCAACTTTAGGCCCTGTAGGACAGCTAGAACTTCTGCTCTAATTGCATTACCATGACCAGATGGACCAGAAAATAGACCAAGGATGCTTCCGTTGGCATTTCTGAAAATTCTTCCTATGTCAGGAGGTCCAAGGTTGCCTCTACTGCAGCCGTCAAAATTGAGCTTAATTAGCAAGTGTATAGGGGGTTCCTAACTAGGTTGAACAGGCACTCTGGTAATGGAAGAGGTTGCTATCAGCCCTCAATTCCTAATAATATCATCAGTGGTGAAAGATCTAAAAAGACTTAAAAGTTTTCTTCCAGTGTGTCACTCGCACTGTTATGAGGTCAATAATTACTCTTCTGTTTTGACTTTTGAGCCTTCTCTTGAAAAACTCTCCCATTTCTTTCCTCCCAAATCGTCCATTAAATAGCAGCTCTAGAACATCTCCATAGTATCTCTCCTCTCCTTGTAGGTGGATTAAGGAAATTGCTTCTGAAAACTGATGGAAAATCTGTGGGAGGAGTCCACCTGCACGGCTGCACCCAACTAGAGTGGAAAAACACTCCCAAATACCAGCCACAAAAGGGCAAGAGATAAGTAAAAAGAAGTTCCCCATTTGCAATGCAGAAAAGAGAGGCGTGAGGAGATAAGCACCAATTGGGTCTTTTCTTTTGAAGGGTCTAAGAAGTGTTTATTTTTTAGTGAAAAATTTCCTGGCAGAAATGGAACAGGTCCACTTGGACCACCCCACACCTCTTTCATTGGAAAAGTAGGGGCAGTGGGCAGGGTCACGAGAGGAAAGAGACTCAAAGAAGGAAGAACAAGAAAAGAGACCAGAAGAACAAGGGGACCAAACTCTGGCATCAAGATTTGGAAGATCCAAGAAAACACCCTCCAAAAAGTCTAATAACTCCATGCACAAGGGAATTTCTACTTCCCTCAAGTTACATCTAGACACAAAAGGCCACGAAAGCCCACTAGAGGAAAATGGCACAAATTGAGAGATATGTTTGTTTTTAAAAGAAGAAAGCCAATACAATAAGGGGAAATTTTCTTTTAAAGGAGCATTACCCCACCACAGATCTTCCCAAAATCTAATTTTGTCCCCAGAAAAGAGTTCATACCTGATAAAAGTCAAGAAGCAAGGCAGCAGACCTGAAATTGGTTTCCAAGGTGTAAAGGTAGCCCTTCCATTCAAACCAGAATCCTAGCCATTTTCCTTTAAACCATGAATACTCTGAATTACTTGTTTCCACAAACGATTCAGTTCCAGGGGAAACCACCCCAACCATTTACCTAACAAATCCTTGTTCTTTATTGTAAGTTTCCTAGCCCTAGACCCCCTTCCTTTCTGCACTTGCAAAGAATGCCCCAATTCACTAAATATCATGCAAGATCATTTACTGAAAACGTTTTCATTTGCCAAGAATAAATTATGGCATTTGATTTGTTGTGTAACTGATGTTATCCTATGTTAAAGGCAATGTTGATGCTACTTCTCAAAGTTTCATTATCCAAAGGAGCTTAATATGTGGATCCTGAGTTTCAAATCTTAGTCAATAGAAAGATGGATGAACTAACATGATGAAGATTGACAATGCTATTCTGCACAAAGGATTTGTTGCCGCTGAGAATATAGCTTTAACAAGCTTACTGATTCTGTGTTACAGGAGGAGCTAAAGAATAACACAATTACAATGGTGGAACAGAGTAAGGTTCTCAACACTCCTGGTGCAGAGAAACAGACGAAGAGGGAGCTATTTGATGCACTCCGACGTGAACTTGAGTAAGTATTTCACCCCCTTTTTTTCTTTGTTTTTTTTTCAAGATAGAAGTTGATTTTTTTATCAAAATATAGGCAAAATATAAATGCAATATGGCATTATCATGACTATATATAGAGATGGCATGGGCATTGGGGGTGAGTGGTCTGATCCATCATGCAATACGTGCACCTAGGATACAGCTTCAATCAGAATTTGCCTGTTGCAACTTTTCTATTCAGCCATCATATTTTTTTATGGTTTCCATGGAAATGGAAGTGGGTCCAGAAATTTCCAAATAATCTTTTAGAGTGCAATCGGGTTGGGTTTTGACATCATGATTCCTAAATGGGTCCATCAAGTAGTGGACATTAGCTTCACCATGTGGGGTGGAAATAGTTTTAACATTAGATATGAGAAATCTCTTTGATTGTTGCTACTTGTTACTGATAAAAATGACAAAAATCTATAAAAAAAGATATAAATATATATTTATAGATTGATTGCTCCATTATCTTCTTTTTGAGTTTTGACTAAACTAGGGGCTTTATTGTGGTGCCATTGAAATAGTTAAGATAATGAGTATTTATATGGAATGGGTTTCTTGCTCTTTATTGTACTAGTTTTGTTGCGCAGGCAATTGATGTCTGTGCCCTTGAAACTTTTACTTTTTTCATTTATGTGGATTCCACCAAAAGGACATAATTATATATATATCGATTCCTGAACCGAACTTCTCCTTTGCTAATTATAACTAGCCGATCTATGTAAAAGCTGAAAGTATCATCTAATATAATCAAGGATTAAAGTATTAGTATTGGGTATTGTATTGGAGAATTCAAATACAACGGATACGGATATGCTTTGGAAACACATGGATATGAATGAAAAATATGAAAACAGATGGATATGTTAGGGAAATACATACAAATTCCACAAATACATTAATAACACTAAATTTAAGACCAAAATAGTCACAAATAATATATAAATACATAGAAATGTATATTTTAATGGTGTATATGAAAAAATGTATTACAATTAATATATCGGGATGCCTGATATCATATAATTTTATTTATAATGCATCAATCAAGAGTCTAAGACACTAAACACATGTGCATATTATATTCTAATTATTATATCACTTATTTTTTTATTTTACTGTTTTAATTTTTAACATTAACAAAAAATCAACTAAATATTAAATTCTCAAGTGCAAATTAAAATACCAATTAATAATTCACAAAAATATAATATTAACTTAAAGTATATAAAATTTGTAAGATACATATCCTATACAAATTCATAATTTTTAATTACTAAAATAATTATTCCATTGTTAACATTTTTAATAAAATTTATTTTGTTCTATTTAATAACACAAGATAAAGTCTGGCTTGATGGTTTAGAGTGTGGCAAAAGATAGCGCGTCCAAATGACCTAGGTTCAAATCAGCATAGCTGCATTTTTTATGAAGTATAAAGAGACATGTCGTTTCGCGCGTATCGTCTCGTACTGGTGCGTATCGGCCGATACATTATGATACATGCCGATATGGATTTGTATTGGTGCAATACAAGCGACTTACGGGATACGCTTCTATTCGTTTCGTATCCTGTACTGTTGTCAACCGATACTCGGGCATATCGTGTCAATATTTAAGTCCTTGAATATAATGGAACCACAGTTTTCTTGTTACTTTTTAGATCTAGGATTGTTCCATCCAACATTTTCTTTTATTTCAATCATTTTGGTTTTTGGTGCAGAGGTCCGGTGCTTGAGAAAGCCTCTAAATCAGTTTGGGAGCTGATTCTGGATAATGATGGACTAGGGAAGGAAATTAGTGAAACAGTTGAAAGAGTTTTTTGCCGATTAAGTGGCAGGGAACCTCCGTTATTTCCTCCCAACAGTGAAACCCAGACAGAGAAAGAGAAAGAGAAAGAAAATTCAGATTTGTCATCAAAGAAAAGGAGCTTTGCTGAGATGCAGGGAGGATCAAATGAAGTTGTGGAAGCATCCAACAATCCGGTATCAAAGCTCTCTGTTGCAGTGCTGCCTTCTGATGCAAAGACATGATTCTTCTGAGAAGCTCGACTATCACTATCTAGTTTTTATTTCCAGAAGTAGCCAAGTTCGACTATCTAGTTTTTGTTTCCAGAAATAACCAAGTTCAGGGCCTTAAAGTAGATATGTAAAATTGAATGCTGAAGTTTGAATCGTCAAAATCCAATTTAATTAATGTTAATGGATATTTAAATATCCTATGCTGTTGCCTGTTGCATCCCTTATATGGTTGAAGTTGTGGGATCTTGTCTGTATCAAAAGAAAAGTTATAGTTGGATGAGTAGAAGTAATATATACTCTAATTCTTTAATATGTACTCTAATTCTTTAACCAACTTGGTAAGAATGAGCAAGAATGAATAACATTAGAGTGTTTAGTTTAAAAATTCTTGTCATGGCCACATTTATTTTAGAAAGAAAAATCAGCCCACAACACAAAAATTGAGGTAGACTATAGCACAAAAAATAATCAAGCCCCATCTTACTCATTTTCATTCTGAGTAAACTCTGCCTATAAAACTGTTGCCATAGATGTTTACTAGCGGACTACCGTAGTACTTTTATGAAAGCACTTTTGCAAAAGTACTTTTACATGAAAGTACTTTTATAAAAGTATTTTTACAAGAAAGCATATTTATGAAAGTACATTAATAAAAGCACTTTTCTACGAAAGAACTTTCGCAAAAGTACTTTTATGAAAGTATTTTTGTAAAAGCATTTTTGTGAAAGTATTTTAATAAAAGCACTTTTATGAAAGAACTTTTACGAAAGTACTTTTATAAAAGTATTTTTATCAAAGTACTTTTATAAAAGTATTTTTACGAAATTACTTTTACAAAAGTACTTTTAAGGAAGTATTTTTATAAAAGTACTTTTACGAAATAACTCTTACAAAACTTACTTTTACAAAAAAACTTTTACAAAAGTACTTTTATAAAAAACACTTACAAAAGTACTTTTATAAAAGTATTTTTACAAAAGCACTTTTATGAAAGTATTTTTACAAAAGCACTTTTATGAAAGTATTTTTATGAAATCACAAAAGCACTTTTACAAAAGTACTTTTACATAGGACACTTGTCGGTCTAAAAAGAATTCATTTTAGAATTTCAGCAATATTTTTATCCATTCTAAAAGGGCGTTTGGTTCATAGCAATATTCTCTTCCTGCCTATTTTTATCCATTCTTGTTCATTTTAGAATTTCAGCTTGAATAAGAATGAGAAAGAATGAAAATTAAACCAAACATAGCCTAAAGAGCTATTCTAGTGGTACACCATACCATTTGAAAGATCATTCTAAGGTCTGCTATTAGACCCATTATTTTGTATTCTATCCCATGTAAAGACTTGTGAATTGTGATCATTAATATAATGGATGCACTAGTACCTTCTAATGGATGAAACTGAACAGAGCAAAATGATGGAACGGAATTGTAGATTCCTATGGTCTTTTTTATTTTTGGTAATAAGCCTTTATTGAATAAACTACTTGTGCCTAACCATCACCAATCCAACAGGCAAAAAGACAATAAAGAAGATATCTTAAACGTTTGCATCGTTTGGTTCATGGGGGATATTTGATGGATGCCGTGCTCTCAGGTGTTCAAATTGTTTCGTTTTCAGGAAATCCCGTCTCTGAATGAATGGCTGTCCTACAATTATACGAGCTCCAGCAAAAACATTCCTGACCATAAAAAGTATTACAGCATTTTAAATTTCATTGTATTTCGAATTATCGATTGACGGTTGTCCATTTGGCAGAGTATGCAATGATGAATTTTTTTTTGGTATTTGGTGATAAACCCGAATCCCCTACAGCTACAGGGGGCCGTTTTTAGTTGCGCACCACCACTTACAACCCCCCTCCCCAAATTTGGTGGCTAAGGGAATTCATGGGTAGAAAGTGAATTTTAAATTCTACTTGGAGTAGAATATCTCTGGAACTAAACTGGTGTCCCCGAGTACAAGTTTGAAATCCACTGAAAGCCAGGGCTAATCTCCCCGAGTGGTTTTCTAACCGCATCCGTGTTACTGCTCTAGATGCTCCAAAACAGTGCAACCTTTTCAGTAAGCATTCGGTCCAGATCAAGTTCGATAGTAGATTGACCCTGGATAACCCTCTGTTTTACGAAGAAATGAATGAAAACATATAATTTAGTCCAATGACCTATATAGAAGTGATAACTTCAAACCAGCTACTGTTTGTAAATGTAATGGATGACAATCACACCAAATATATGCCGCCATTGCACATAACAGGAACTAACATGTTACAATACCAAAGAATTTCACAAAAATGAAATTTTAACTAGAAAATTATATAAGGTGTATTACAACACTAACACATTGGAGAATGGAGATGACTAAAGCTTCTCCCTGATTAATGATCCTCTCCAGAAAGATTGCTAATGTTGGACAATCTACAAGGGATAAAACATCAGGAATCAATGAAGCGGATGTCAAAAGTGTTCGGATGGATCTGCCACACATTTAGGGCTGCATATTCCTCTAAGCACTCCTTCAATTGAGCTTCACTGTATCCCTGTTACAAACAAAGAATATTCCAATAACGTGCAAGTTCTGAATGAGAGAGATGAATAAACTTAAGCCATTGTTGTGGAAGGAATTAATTATACACTACAGTAAAAAATATAAAATAAATATAAAAACAACCAAGCACGATAATGAATTTACAGAATTGACACTTGACACAACCGCAAGGACATCCAAGAGGCAATTATCTGCTCTCAGCTCAGGAAGGTAAAATACTTCAATAGCTGGACTACCTTAAAGACCAACTTCTGTACTCGGGATGGAGATTACTCCATGCTTGTGCTACACTACTACTGAACATCAACAGAAACCATTCCAATCGTCAATGGCATATTATTAAAACCCATTGTTTAAAAACTAGGTGATCCAGATGAAGGATCAAGCAATCTGGATTGACATGCCAGGTAGAATTGGCTCTTAACCAGGTGTTATTCCTGTGACCCCGTCAGAAATAGACTAAGCTTCCTGGTCTTAGGATCACCAAACTCAGGTGATTAGATAGATGGATCATGTGATTTGGAATGCACAAATAAGTAGAACAAAAAACAAGAAATAGACAAACAAGAGGCAGTTTGTAGGAAGGAAGGTGAAAAGAAGAAATAATGCACCTTTAAAAGTAAATAGAGAACTCTATCAGTAACATTGAGTGTCACTAACACCTTATCAGATCACAACTCCCTCAAAACATTTCAGGAAAATAACCATATCAAATGACACCAAACTCATGCAAAATAGCCAAGTTTTGGCCAATGAAAAATAGGATGAAAGAAAAATAATGATTTCATCTCGACATTTCAAAACTTCAAAAACTTTCTTATAAGAATCTGTAAACTGATTTAACCTTTTAAAACAATTCACCATACTTTTAACTTTTAAGACACTAAATAGAAAATAAATTTAAAATACTCAAAAATACTAAAAGCAATTGCCATTGGATGAAAAACTCGGAGAAAATCAATTTCTTTCTCCATGGAATCCTTTCTTACTTCCATGCCAGCACCACAGTTGGAGAGGAGATTGAAACCATAATTAACAGTTAGAGAGGAGAAACTAGAACCCTCACTCTTTGTTTATTTTTTCACTAAGCTTCAAGAATGCAGCCTGAATCCCCTAATAGCTAGAAATCTCAACCTTGAGATTGTCAATAATAGCCTCAGAAATAAGTAGGTATCAAGCTACAGGTATAAATTCACATTTCATTGATCTTTTTCTGTGTATATTTCATTCCCACTTATTGTTTTCGGGAAATCTGATTGTTGTCTTTGCAAGAGAGGCTTCAGTAAACCATCCTTATTCTTCCTGTTTTTTATAATCAAACTAGAGGGGTTCTGTCAGTTCAGAAGTAGGGGCTCTACCATGCCATATTTTCTGAATCTTTTTACGTTTCTGTTATTTGTATACATAGAATCATATTTTCATACAATAGTTGTATTTCTTCAGACTCAGTCAGGTTGGCAAAAATTCAGCAGAAACCCAAGCCAGATTACTGGGTAGATTGATCAAGTTTCCCAGTTTTTCTAAAGACATTAAATTCAATTAGCAGTACTGCACCCCTAGAAACTCTTATTAGGTTGCTAACTTTGTACTTTTTTATCAGTTGACTGTGTACTTAGACAAATTCCAGGCAACATGGTCAACTTTTTTTATGAGTAATCTCCAGGCAACACTGTCAATTGATGACAAGGTTAGATCTTCATGATGGGTTACACTAAAATAACCTCCTGATACAATGCCTTCTGTATTTCTTGTAGGCTACTCGACAAAAAAGGAAACCTTCCTCCAGTACTGGTTTTACTTTATGATGCCAAAGATTATATAGGTTGATGTGGTAGCAAGTACTGTGGGTGCATACAACATTCAAACCAGCTAGTTAAACCAAATAATCATAACTTGTTTCTTTATTTGTAGTTAAGGTGGTGAGGCACTTCCTAGGAGTTCGGATCTCCTACCCACACCTACTCACACCTCATTACAGCTGTACATTGAGAACGAACATCTCCATGTTTACATGTTATCATTCATGGAGAGGTGTTCCTAATGTACAACTGTAGTATCATGTGGGTAGGAGTGGCTAGGATTCTTGTGGGCAGGATATCTGAATTGACTTCCTAGGTGTTTTAGTCTGGAAAAGTTGACACCTAGATGGTAAAACAAACCTAATCACATTGTTACGATTAACTAAAAAATTAACCACTAATCATCATCATCTAAGCCTTGTCCCAAGTCCCAACTATATGGGGCCAACTAAATTAACCACTGATTATAATGCACCTAAATTTCTAAAAAAAAAACAAGACAAGATTGTTAAATTGCCCTGATTCAAATATAGAACAAAGGGATTAAGAGTCATAAATTTTAGGTCCATAGGCACATATGACCTAACAATAGTTAGATGAGCCCATTTGTTGCATCACCAAAATGTGGGCACAGTAATTTATGTGCCATCAACAAGATGTTTATATCTTACACATCTGGATTGGATCTACCCATATTTGAATCTGATCCTATTAATATTAGGATTTGAATAAAACTTTCTATGTTGGATTTGATTGGACTTGGATAATCATATATCATTAATGAATTAAGCTAAAAAATAATCAAATTGTTATATTCATTAAAATGAATTAAAAATAACTTCCACGAGACTAACTTTGAACCTTTGATGAAAATGTGATTTGGACCAACATTATTAATGAACATGTGTAAATTTTATATAAACATATGAACATACCAATATTATCAGACACAGGTCTTACTAGGATCAGATTGGGGTAGATCCATATCCAATCATTTATAAACAGATCTAGTTTTTGAGATCTAAATCTGGTTTAATTAGGTTAGATTTTGAACTCAGACCTGGATAATTGACTGCCATTGACAGCCCTACCTCCAAATTGCATATTAGATACCTCTGACACATTACTGAACTGTTCTTTATTAACTAAGCAGTCTTGATTTTTACAATGCTAACTAACCTTTCTTGAGATCCAGTTTAGTGCATGAGCATAGCTCACATCCATCCTGTTTGTCCTTGCAGCTTCATCTCGCAGTATGGAATAGATGTCAGAGATGGCATCAAGACCAGATCTCTGACGCTCTTCTGAATAAAGTGAGAACTTTGACATCTGCATTAACCTCAGTGCCTCGTCCACATCACTCTGAGCCACAGTTTCTGAAAAGCGGAGCCTTGCCAGTGCCTGGAAAAAGAAAAAATTAATATTCCACCATTAGCAAGCTAATGACAAATGATAAAAGAAAGTTACTGTGCCCAGCAGTCTACCCTAACATGTGAACAGAACCATATTAAATTTAAGGAGAAATGGACAAGCAAAGACCAACACTCACAGCGGATATCCGGAGAATACTGAGTAGGGTCCGCACAGTAGTGTATGAATGGGGACTATTTGATTTAGCTTCCTCCTGCCGGATGCTGGAGTAAGCACTTGCTATATACTCCTCCAGCTCTTTGGGAACATGGGGGGTCATTTTCCTTGCAGATGAAATATATGCACTGAAAACCAACAGAAAACACAAATTTTGAATGCAATCAGGGAATTCACACATTCTAAAAAGAAAAGAGGAAATCTAATGTTCTAGAAGATCCAGATAAAGAGGAAATCCATTTTGTAGGGACTGACATGTAATTTTTGGAGAGTAAAGCTAAAATCTCAGCCAGGTATATCTTTTTGGATTTCACATCAATGTTCTTTCCAGAGGCTGGAAAAAGATAACTAAATTCAGCCAAATCCATTATCTTTTATGGGATTTACATTAGAGTTCTTACTAAAAATCAGATAAAAATGGGAAATAAGCTTCTGACACATCAAATCTTTCTAGTTTTCACATTAAGATTCGTTTTACAAGAATGTTAATGCCTTTCAATTGGAGAACCTAAGTCAACTATGAGATACAAAGGTATCGTTTTCTTTCAATATATAGCAGTGCGCAAAGTGACGGAGCCCAAGAACTCTCTAATCTGGTAACAACAAAATCCATGCTCACATAAAAATAAACCATAAAATGTTAACAAAATGGCAGGGGATCTCTCAGATACAACCTACTCATAAAGTTAAACAATTCACTTCAAATTTGTAAATTATCATTTTCTTTACAGAAGTGGATAATGATATCAAAGATATATATTACAGACAGTTGTATGAACTAGAATGGACTTTACCGAAGAACGGATGGCTCAAGTGGAGTGAACCCAAGTGCAGGAGATTCTTTGTTCTGATGAACATAGACAACATGCCTAGCCATTTCAAGGTCACTGTCCATATCGGCCCTATCTAGTATCAACCAAAGAAGATCAAAACGTGATAGAAGTGCTGGAGGCAGATTGATATTTTCGGCGGGAGTTCTGCGTAGGTCATATCTTCCCCTTCAACCAAATAAGGAAAAATTTTTAACCTCAATGTGGATAACTTTCAAAAAGACACTTATCTATGAACTAATTGATTTGAATCCATGAGAATGCAAAAATATTGTTTTACGCTTTAGTGAAGAGAATGTTACCAGCTTGATTTCCATTATGTTTAAACAGAAGAGAGAATTGATTTTTCTCAAAACTAGTTTATGACTTTGACTGCTTAAAATAAAAGAATAGATTCACACCATGCAGGATTTGCAGCAGCAAGAACAGCAGTTCTGGCATTTAAGGAAGTGGTGATTCCAGCCTTGGCAATACTGACAGTCTGCTGCTCCATCACCTCATGTATCGCTGTTCGATCAGATTCCTCCATTTTATCAAACTCATCTATAGCACATATACCCATATCAGCAAGCACCTGCAGCACAACAATTTGCTTTCACAAAACTGATAAACTAAATAAAGAAATCATAATAATCATCAAACCCTTATCCCAACTATATGGGGTTGACTACATAAATCCTGTTTCTCCATTCCATTCTGTTTAATGCCATATCCAATGTTCAATTATGAGTGCTTTACCTATTGGAGCTACTCCTAGGTTCCCACTCATCCATCTCAATATATGCATTTCTGCCACACTCATTTTTTGGATATGTTGTTTCCCAACGCTCTGTTGCACACAGCATAGTTGGGCTTACAACTGTTGTATAGAATTTTCCTCACATGTTTTTCCAATTTTCAACTAAACTGAAGAAAGCCTTATCAAAACTATATTTATACATTTGAAATGAGAAAATTATCATTCATGCTAGCTAGCTAGTTCATAATAATTGCAACAGGGACAAGCATGCCAGTGCACCTTGCAATATGACATGTAGCATAAGCATAATATTTGGATAGTGGACCAATAAGCATGTGTTACACATCATGTTGCATTTGCATGCAAAATACAAGGTAGCATAAAACAGAATACATAAATTTTCATAAAACCATATATACCAAACAGATATGTTTGAATGCGAGGAAAGAAAAAATAGAAACTTGTTAAGAGTCTCACCAAGGCTCCCCCTTCAAGAACCATCTCATTAGTTACTGGATCTTTCTGAACTGCAGCCGTCAGACCAACCCCACTGCTTCCTCTTCCCGTAGTGTACACTCCTCTTGGTGCCACATTAATTATGTGCTTAAGGAGCTGACTTTTTGCAACTCCAGGATCTCCCATCAAACAAATGTGCAGGTCTCCTCTAATCTGCAATTCCAAATAAACACGTTCAGAAAGCCATCATACATTGTAGTGAAAATATTAATGAAAATTACTTGGAGATTGTTTTCCTAGAATTTAATGATGAATGTAGGCATGATAAGCCAAATGACAAGAGAAAAATGAGACAAAGAGGAGGCTACATTGTATCTTGTTACTAAGTGGAATGTGGAAATATAACTTGTGGCTGACCTAAAATGGTTACAAGCTTGATTTGTGATATTTATCTGACAAAACCAAGATTTTAACACAAATATTTGGTGGCCTTCCATTTTTTGTGTGTAACCACAGTTTACTTGGATAAGAAAAATAATCCATAAACTCTAAAGGTAAAATATATGGAGGCTACATTGTATCCTGATAAGCCAAATAACGAGTAAGAGAAAAATGAGATGAAGAGGAGGCTATATTGTATCCTGTTACTAAGTAGAAATATAACCTGTGGCTGACCTAAAATGGTTAAGACAAGCTTGATTTGTGACATCTATCTGACAAAACCAAGATTTTGATACAAATATTTGGTGGTCTTCCATTTTTTATGTGTGCTAAGCATAAGAAAGATCAACCACAGTTTACTTAGATAAGAAAAACAATCTATAAACGCTATAGGTAAAACATATGGGATTTTCATAATTAAGTGAACTTCTTTCTCATAATAAACATAGTTTAGTCATCAAAGAAAATCCCATCCCCATCAAACTGATAATAATGGGAGCATAATATGCATTTGATGGATTTACCTTCATCCCATCTTTCAATTTCCGATGAGGAGCTCCAACAAGGAGAAGAAGTAGAGCTTTCTTAACATCTTCATGGCCAAAAATCTCAGGTGCTAATGACCGTGCCAACTTATTGTAAATATCACCATCTTCAGATAGGCGTGCAATCTGCTCTTCCTCATCTCCTCTAAGTTCATACCTGTGGTTAATAAAAGTGACTAATTATATTAACCAAGGAACTTCAATTAAGAGATGCAAGGTTCATATATTATGTGCCTTGAGGCCTTTGATTTATCAATTCTTGGGGTGGGTAACCAAATTCAATATGTTTCTCCATTCAGTTTCTTTTGCATGTTTTAAAATGCTTAAGTTAGTATTGTTCAACTCCATTGTTAAGTTTTTGGTTCAGAGAATTTATAAAATCAATCTCTGCAGGGGTGACACACACAAACACATGTAGAAGGATCTTGCCCTATCAACATATTCAAATGATGTTCACTTTCAACCCTCAAACAAGATTTTAATCTACCATTTTAGATTTTCTTGTTTGAACTACTTAATCATTCAAATTAATCCAAAGTTCAAAGAAAGAAACTTAATCCCCAGTAAGTAAAATTTTCTTGAAGCCAAACCTTTTTTCTCAAGGTTCACAGCATGAAGAAGACAGGGAAGGAGGAGAAACAAAACTTACTCCTCATATTTTTTCTTGAAATGTGTCACTGACATGGCCTCCAAGTATGTGTCTGCAACCAACCCTGCCCGCATTGCTCTGAAACCTGTGTAAGGAATAGGAAGAAAAATCCCTGACATCTCAACGACATCACCTGGAGCTACCTGATCAATGCATAAAAAAGAAAAAAAAATGAATAAATGGTAGGAGTGTAATCAAGTGCACCACCAAAAAGAACATATTAAAAGAACTTCAAACCTACCAAGTTGACTTTGGAGAAATGGAAAAGGAAAGGTGTAATTAATAAGAAAAGTGAGACAACACCATTCCTTATCTACTGCTTATTAAGATGCTCATCGGTAATCTATACTTGTAGCTGTAACTGGAGGATAACGTTTTAATGGCTGATGTTATGCACTTTGCGAGAAAATTAGGTAATTAACATGAAATGGGTATATGTGCACTACTATACAATCTGTAATACCAGCATACCTTCCGAGTGAGTTCCCCACGTAGATGAACAGTCATTGTCCTTGGAATGTGACCTTTCGGAACATGTTCTGCTAGTTCTTGGATTTTTGCCTGCATCCACCCACCACAACCATATATCACATAAAAATTAAAGGAAACAAATTATGGTTTTTTTTTGCTTGTTGAGAAACCTTTTCTCTCATACAACTTTGAAAAAGAAACTAAACTTTTACATAAATTATAAAGCTTTTATATTGGAGGACAGAGAAGAAGCACCTCTTGAAACCTCAAAAACTTCGAAGCTCTGAGCTGAAGGATGAGGTTTCCTTTTGTGTTGTTTATTTTACAGCGGCTGGATGGGCACTCAAACAGGGGCATGAAGACTCGAGCGGTTACTTCCTGCAGTTATTAAATGAAAATGAGAAAAAAATAAGTTTTGTTTGGTTGTAAGTATGTGCAATGTGAAAGGGGAAAAAACAACAAAATAATGGGAACCCGAATGTAATTACCTGGTAAATTTCGAAACCACACTCTTCACATGTATACACAGCCACCTGCATCAATGGCTTAACGTCTGAGCATCGTGTAACAATGCCAGAGATCCTGACAAGCTGGCCAATGTACGAGGCTTTAACTTCTCTTATAGTAAATGGTCTCTCTTTAGAAGAAGCTTTTATATAGACTTCACTGCATTCCAGAACAAACCACGTTAGCGAAGAATACATTTCAAATTATCACGCTAATGTTCCCATTGAGCTCCCAAGTGAACATTATGGCACATTCTTATTCTACTTTTGTCATCGTTAACACGTTGATACCAAGGTGTATGGTCCAGAAAAAACCCTAATATGAGACTACACATCTTTCTGAAATTACAACAACCTGTCATCCAGGTACTTGAAAGAGTAATGATAATCCGAAGTAGGAAAAGTAAGCTGCCCTAGAAACAAGATCACAAAGGGATCCCTCCAAGACTTACTAGAAACGCTTAATCTCTGGGGGCATCCTCTGGCGCGGATCTGAACCATCGGCATTCTCCGTTCCTTCCTCCGATCGCTGGGTCATCAAAATGTCATGATCATCATCCGGGAAAGCCTCCGTGGGCTCTGGCATGAGATCATCGATGGCATCAGCAAAAATACCAAGATATCGACGGGTATTTTCAGTTACCCGTCTAAGAAATTCCTCGTCCAGGTCCTTATACTGGAGGGTCAACAATTTATAATTGCATTAGGATTTTGTTACAGGATCTCTGAATATAGGACAGAAGAGTAAAAGGAAAGGAGAAGAAGAGAGTTACATTGAAGAGATCCTCGAGATCGATTTGGATAGCTCGAATCTTACGGTTAGCGACTTCTTGCTGCAACCAACAGAAGAAATGGGGATTGCTTTAGAATAGTTGAAATTTTGAGGTGAGATGGAATCATATACCAAAAGAATTGTATGAGAAAAAGAAGACTTACGAGTATGTTGAGATACTTGGGTTCGCCATTTGCATCAGCGAAGTTGGTCAAAAAATCCTTTGCGAGGACTGCAAGAGATAGATGGATTGAAAGAGCGCTAAACGTAACGAGAGACAAAACGGCGGAGATGATGAGATCGACGGCTTACCTCTGTCGGCATCGAAGTCGAGGTCCTTCGTGTTCATCATGGTTGTTCCCGTCAGAGAACGCGAAGTGGGGGTGAGGAAGATTTTCAGCAAAAATGGAGAGTTGCTGCGGGTTGACACTCAGACACTGATGTTAGTGAGGTTTTGGCGGGAAAACGTTGATGGATCGTATCTGTTTTGGCGGGAAAGGGGATAACTGGAGCTGGGCCCGTTCGGGAGGGCTGAAGCTTTGACTCTTGAGAAGCCACTGAAAGCAGCTTCAGCGGAAAGCCCTGTTTCTGGCAGACTGTTAGGATGGGAATGTAGGACCCACTTCATAAAGCCAGGAGCCGCTATCTGAAAGCCCTCCCAAACACGGGCACTCACTGACGGGAAAGCGTTAACGGAATAGTTAGGGCCGAATCGGATTGAAATTGGTTAATAACTCGATAATTACGGTTTAAAGAAAAAAGTGAAAAGCTTTTTGTGGCTGCTGGGATTCGAGCCCAGGTCTCCACGGCCACAACGTGGAATTCTTACAACTAAACTACAACCACAAGGTTGAATAATATTATATAAACATTCTCTCAGAGGGAATGAAAAGCAAACCATTCAAATCCAATCCAACCATGAAACGAACAGATAAATATTTTGGATCTGAACTTTTCACTCGTGAATTCACGAACTCTTGCACAAATGGCTTTTGTTTGATCAAGTGCTCTTCATATATTGTTTGTTTGCAATGCAATTTCATTGATAGGAGTGCAAATGTGAATTTTGCAAAATTTGGTTTGTTTTTTCGCCCAGTTTTTAAATTATTCTGCTTTAATTCTCATTTTACTTGCTTTAATTCTCGATTGAAAGGAACAAAAATACAAATATATATATATATATATATATATATATATATATATATATATATATATATATATTGTGCAAATACATACACGATAAAGGTTTTGAACTCTATGTATTTACATTTACACTCCTCTCAAACTAAGACTTAACAAAATTAAACCAAGATTGGATTTTAACTCATTTGCACCTTCATGTTATTGCACCAATGCGAATATAATTGCACGGGAAACAAACAAAGCCTTGAAAACGGAACCGATTTTCAATTCGCATGGTGGGTCAGTTGGTTCAACCCTCATTGTCAAATGGTCAAATGCTTAGTCTGGGTAAGTGCCTCAATCAATGTAATTCTTTGAGTGATTGGGAGTTTGGATTACCAAATTAAACTTAGCAAGGGAAAGATATTATTGGCATAGGTAGAACAATTTAGGAATATATGACGTCTTTAATGTTCTTTTTATCGATGTTTTAAATAAATGACCTGAAAACGGGAATTGCTTTTTTTATTTGGATGATGGGACGTGGTTCAATCATTTATGACATCATAAATCAAAATAATAAAATATAAATAATAGATAAAAATAAAGAATTAAATAAGAGATTGGACATGATATAAATCATATTTAACAAAAAATTGTGATAAATTAGTTTAAGGGGTAATTCGAGTTCACTCCACCTGATGGAATTGTACAGACCAGGTCAGTGTCAAATGTATTTATAGGGAGGGGATAAATACATTTGAGGAATAAATAAATAAATTGTGAGGTTGAGTTTAGAGTATAAAAATGAATTGGAATCTGCTCGGACGCCTCGTACCAATCTGATAGCTAAATCCCACCTTGTATTGATCCGGATTCCTTAGATTAAATGGGCAAAAGTTAATTGAATCATTTGGTCAAATCAATGACCAAGTGATTTGAAAACTAATGGACTACTGGCCAGGTGATGGATCCATTGATTTGACTAACCGATCCAACTGCGAGTTTGAAAACATTCTAACCAACATGTTGATTGGGTTATAAGGAGCCATTTTTTATCTTCTCCCCTCTTAAAAATGAATTATACAAATGAGGAGAAACAACCGATGAAAATGCTGAATTGTGGTAGGCAAGAAGGCTCCACCATTTCTTTCATCCGTTCCAGTAATTTATAATTTGTTTATTGTTTAATCTCAACCTACTTATATTATTATTATTTTCTCTCTCTTAAATGTACAAAATAACATGTATTAAAATCTTTGGGATTGAACCTAAACTAGCTGAATGATAGGACGGGGCATTGCGTGCTAGCCAATCAGCTGCCTAGTTTGCTTTACGATAAATATGCCGGAAGGAAATGTTTAAACTAAACTCGGACTTGAGGAAAAGACACTCACTAATGATGCTTTCCAATCTCCACGAGGGCTTAACTTTTTCCTTGAGGCAGTCAACCACGAGCTTCAAGTCTCCTTCAATAATGATAGGGTAATCCTTAAAATTAAAAGCAATGTTGATGGCCTTCCAAGCAGCCCAGGCCTTACCTAATTAATTGAAGAGACCCTAATACAATAGGCTTTGAGGTCCAATATAAAACCCATATGGTCCCTAGCAATGCACCCTATGGAGCACCAACTATCCGACTTGCAGGATGCATCAAAATTAACTTTGTTAGTCATAGGATTGGGATTGCACCATCTTATAAAATTCCATTCTTTAGAAATCTCATTGGGACCGGAAGAAAAACAATATTTGATTTTTCCCCAATAAGCAAGAGTCCTTTCTACAATAATTTGGGGATGAGCAAAATTATTGTTAAAGCAATTGTCATTTATATTCTTCCAAATAAACCATAGCAACACTGCCAACTTTTCTTTAACAAATTGTTCACTAGTAGAATCTTGGTTTCTCAAAGCACTAGACCACCGGTCATTTATTGAATTATCATTAGAACTTGGGATCTGTAGCAATGATCCCAGCCTTAACCAAATATGCTTAGTAAAGGGGCACACAATAAATAAATGCTCAAGTGTTTCATTTTCATTGCAAAATTCACATTTGGAATTCAAATTCATGCCTCTAGTAATGAGCTTACTTTTAGTTGGAAGCTTGTCATTGAATAGGAAGAATAAGAATACTTTAATTTTTGGAGGAATCTTAAGATTCTAGAAAGACCTCTGACAACTAGCACCAACACCACTTCCACTATTCTGACTACACTCTTCATTGTAGGCCAAATTTATAGAAAAATTTCCATCTGGAGTGAGTCTCCAAACAATTCTATCCTCAGATAACTTAGAGGGAATCAAGATTAGTTTTATGCAATGCCAAACGCTATTATGAATAAGAGTCTTAATAAGATCCTCCTTTCAAATCTTTCTATCATGGTCAATAACATTGCAAACAAGAAAATCCAAGTTTGACACTACATCTGGATTAACAATCTCAAGGAAATGGGAGTTAATAGCCTAAGTGTCCCTCTAGAAGTTGACACAGTTACCATTACCAATCTTCCAACTGATACCACTCCTAAGAATATCTCTAGAGGCAATAACACCTCTCCAAGCCCAAGAGATACCACTCTTAGACTCCACCTCCATAAAGTCTAAGTTATTTAAATACTTGACTTAGACCACCTTAACCCATTTCAGGTTTTTCAATCCAAGACCCCCCATTTTCTTGGCCGTACACATTCTCTTCTAGTTAACAAGATGTATAAGATTTTGACTTCTAGAATTAAAGCAAATAAAATCCCTTTGGGCCTTTTCCTACTCGCTAATGACATTATTTGGGATTTTGAAAGATTGCAAGGCCAATTGGGGGATCATAGAGTTAGTTAGGATCAACTTGCCAGCAAGGGAGAGAGTATTTTTCTCTCAATTGGCAAGTTTACTAGCCATTTTCTCGCTAAGAGATCTAAAAACCCCTTTTGAGACTCTCCAATTAATAACAGGAATACCCAAGTAACTTTTATCTTTTTCTCCAAAGGAATTTTAAGAATTCTTGCCATAATCTTTTGAAGCCTACCAGGAATATTCTTGGAAAAGGAAATAAAAGATTTAGAGTAGTTTGGCAGTTGATCAGAAGCCAAAGCGAAACTATCAAGGATATTTTTCACCTTAAGACAAGCATTAATTGAAGTTTTCACAAAAATCATACAATCATCAACAAACTGTAAAATAGGGATGGTGGGGCCGTTTCTTGATGCCTTACAACCAACAAGCTTATCCCCACTCGTGGATTCTTTCACCAGCATATTGGTGAGGGCTTCAACACAAAGCACAAAGATGTAGAGAGATAAGGGGTCCCCTTGCCTGATTCCCCTACTGGTTCTCACCTTATTAGAAGGAGAACCAATAATAAGAATTTGAAAATAAACTAATTTAATGCATTCCATAGCCCAATTTATCCATTTATTGTGAAAACCAAACTTGTTTAAGACTCTTTCAATGAAGTCTCATTCCAACCTATCATAAGCCTTCTCCATATCTAGAGGTGTAAATCGGGTCGTGCCGCCCGCGGCCTGGCACGAACTTGGACTAGACCAGCATGACCCGACGCGACGGTCCACGGACCATGCCAGGCCCGACATGATCATGTGGGTTGTGTTGGGCCTGGGGTTTTAGGTCCACGGGCCAGCATGGCACGACTTGATCGAGCGGGCCGTGCCGCCTACGACCCACGGACTAGCACAACCCAGCTCGCAGCCCGGCCCGTGGCACAACCCGACATGACCCATATATATTATTTATTTATATCTTGTATATTATTTGAATTAGGTCTAACTGAGATATGCACCAAGCCCACACATTATCAGGGATAATTAGATTCAAAATTTAATTAGGTATCAAACTTTTGGAGTCCAATGATGGCTTTAGTGGATAGGGCCCAAGCTAAACAACCCCTAATAAGTTGAATTTGGAAGTTATATGCACGTGGACAATCCTGTAAGCCTATGCAAATATTATTACACTTAAGGTGTGGGTTGGGTTAGGCCAATAAATCTTAAAAACTGCTAATACACTATCATAATTTAGCCCAAAATTTTTAATTTTTTGGTTCCTTTGGCTTCAATATTATCTAAAAATAGTTAAAAAAACCTAAAAATAATGCATGCATAGGCGCACTTGGTTTGGTGACTTTGGTCCAATCCAATTATGAATGTTACGAAGCATGCAACTTGGGTCGGTTGGGTCAGAATGAGGATCAATCCAAGCCTAATCCAAAGTCTTAAAATTGGGCTTAGATTAATTTAGTTAATGACAAAAAAAGATAACTATAGATTAATTTAATTATGACTATAGCTTAATTTTATATATTT